ATTATAGCTTTATCGCAAGACAGTTTGACTTTAACGTTGATGAAGATAGCAGGAGCTATCGAAATATCCGTTTGATTTTGTTATAGCTTAATAAATTTGTGTTCCGCAAATCAACTTTCAATGATTGTACACCATTTTTTCATTGCTTTTGCATTTTATATATACATACATACATACATACATATATATAAAAATAATAAAAATTGCTTGAGTAGGAAAAAATGGACCCTTGCATTAATCAAAACATCTATTAAAATAGTTATTCCAATTTTTGCATTGCTGACATGTTAAAAGTCTTCACGGACCTCAATTCTTCACTCATGCATAAGCCTACCTCATAGTCTACTCATTTTTCACACTCATTACGTATCGTAGGCCTACCTCATACGATAGTCATAGTCTACTCATTTTCAATGCACCACTATTAAGATGACGATTATACCAGGATTATTATACAGACCACATAGGAATGCGAATAAGACGTTTATCACACTGTTGTAAGAAGAAACAGTAATATTAATAGAATCATGAAAAATATTGGTCTACAGAGTCTAGCGGACTTTACATATCTTGCCACCCCCCTGCTCTCTTTTGACTTTGCAGGCCATTATTATATGGGTGGCCCAAATTATTTTTCATGGACCCCAGGTTGGCCGAACCTTTGATCTAAAATACTGGGGGAGGCCTACTTAAAATAAATTTACACTAGAACTCTCAATATTTTCAGGGCATTGAGAACGTTCTAGGCAGAGTAGGCCTAGGCAGTAGCGAGCAACCCAGGCCTGGGATCACCACTGGCACCACGGTACCAGTTTGTGCATGACATGATGGGTTGGCCCTAAAAATACTAGGCCTAAATCGCAGTTGTAAAATAAAGGATACGAGAACTTGTTGTGGCTTAGGTCTAGTTGATATATTTGTGATGCATGGTGCTTTTGCACGTTTGCAGGAATCTCAGAGAGATTTTGGTAAGCTAGACTTAGCCTGCCTTGTTTATCTACCATGGTCTTGACAAAAGTTTAGGCCGAAATTCACATCTTCCAGAGTCCACAACTTCCGTGTTTTGATCTGCACATGAACTTTCACACACTTCTTTATACAGAACTTTCGGTAACATTTTTATATGGAACGCCGTTTACGGAGCAAGTCAATCATTATAAAATTGCCTCGATGTGAAAAAAGGCCTGGGATGGGATGCATCAGGGAAACAGTTGACACTGGGGCCAAGTTGACATGGGCCAGGTTTGGGGCGGAGTTTCGGCTACTGGGGTAATTCAAAAACATGACGCACTCATCTCCGCTCGCGAACATAGCGCGCGTGTGACTGTCCTTTGATTATACTTTGGTTTTAGTTACTGGGGGAGTTTTCGCCTTAAAGTTAAGGGATGACGTCATAATTTATTCATCTTGCTTTGTGGAGTACGTTAATTTCAGGATTTTACGTGCTTGACGGACGTTAGTTACGGGTTTTGCGCATATGTATTTCGATTTGTTTACAAACGGGGCGGAGTTATCGCGTTGCAAGTTGGGTACTAACCTTAAAGTTAAGGTTAACGTCGTGCGGCGAAAACTACCTACTATTTTAATAACTTCTGGTACTTTGCAATAGTATGTCTATTACAACTGATTTCTTTCGACCATGAGCCTTCACCAATTTGATGGTGACAATTGAGCAAAAGAATGGAAAGTTATAGCAATTAAAAATTTACTATTTTATAAATAGTATTCCAGACCTTTTTAATCACCGCACGACGCACAATTATCATAGCGGCAATTTTGTCAGAAGTCACTGACGGCAATAAACCAAAGTGGCAAAATTTCCAGAATGGCACACTGTAATGGTTTGGCAAAACAGCTAAATAAAATACTTCTACTGCTAGTAGTACTAGGGCCTAGATTATAAGCCTAGGACCCAACCTATTATTATGGCTTTCAGCATGCAGTAAACATTCAGATAAATAACAAAATACAGACAAAATTATGGCTAAAACAATTTACGGTATGTCATAGAAGTAAAAAAAAAAAAGCGAAAAAAAACCACAACAACAACAAAAACAACAACAATAATAATAAGTAATAATAATATTAATATTAATAACAACAACAATATAACAACATACACATTCTATAATAAAATGATTGGGGAAACACAATATAAAAGCAGTAAACATTCAAATAAATAAAACTTAAAAATATATGAGGCAAAAACGCGATTAAACATTAAAAGTTGAAAAAGAGCCCATGGAAATATTCGATTTGCCTAGACGGCCAATTTCAAAACGATTCAGAAAATTATAATAAACTACGGCCCGCTCCTATGCTTAAGCATATTGCCGTTTTTGGAACTTGTCATTGCCGTTAGTGTTGCCGTTTTGGTACCTATCATTGCCGTTGTAGTTTATTGCTGTTTGTTTTTGTTTTTTGTTTTGTTTTGTTTTTTTAGTTTTTTGTTTTTTTAATTTTTTTGCTGTTTTGGTTTATTGCCGTTTTGACCCAGTCTACCCCGGCCCCTATACATATTGTGGGTGTTTGGGACATAAGACTGTTGCCATTTGCTGTGCGGCATTTTAGCATGCAAATGATTAATGTTATCATCAGTTTGATGGTACTAACCAAAGATCTTATAATATAAGATCTTTCATCTGATGCTTGAAAGTGGGTGTGTGCTGTTTTGATTTAAGAGGAGGAGATTGCAAATGAAGAATCTCAAGCAAATTTCATCAGGCCCACTTGGCGTTCCATCTATTATGTGATCTAAGACTCTAGCACAAACGTCGTCGTCGTGCATACCGTGGCGAAACGTGAAACTGCAAGTGATTAAGTGTGCTGTGGCTCATAAATGATTTAGACAGATAAAATACAATGGTATGTATAAAAAAATGCAGATCTGTTACCTTTCTTGTGATTGTGTGATATGATCCTGATATTTTTTAACTAGGCCAAGACTGAGCTACAAGTTAGCTACCTAGTAGGTCTAGCTCCCACTGTCAGAAGAGCTTAGTGGGATTCGCTCGGCCTAGCCTAGCTAGGCCTAGGCCCACTACAGATACTAGGCCTAGTACTACCTGTTCTGTAGCTGGCTAGAGTAGGCTAGCCTAATACTGGTTCGAGAGCCCCGAGCCTAGTCCCAAGCCAGGCCCTAGTCCAGGCATTAAGATCCCAAGTCTCCCGAAAATTGCGGGTTTCTCCCGATTTTTGAGGCCGTCTCCCGCCCTCCCGATTTTTATTAATTTCTCCAGAATTTTAAATTTAAAAATGGGATCGGATGAACTGGAGCGTACTTGAAAGAAAGAGAAAGTATTTTTTATGCACCGATTCTCCAAGTTCCAAATTTCCCGGCGTTGAATATTTGGGGACTCATCTATATAGTATATATAGTATATCAAACATCAACGAATACAAATGACAGTCATGTGTTGAAATGATTTTGCTTACATTAGTCTGATGATCAGACCCACAAAACGATTGGGTCCAGGAAGATCGGGCCCATATTCAGGACGATCAGGTCCACTTTCAAACTGGACCTGATCGTCCTGGGTCCAATAGTCTAGCTAGTGCCTGATCGTCTGTAATTTGTTAGCGGTACTGTAGTAACCTTGTAGGGCATAACCTAGTTAGAATATATTCAATGACTGATTGTTAATTTTTAGTTTGTTTTAAATATTTCTCATTATTTTATTTTTTGTGCCGGCCAGGGCCACCTATTAATAACCAAGGCTCTAGAATCTTATTTTTTATAGGCTCCATTAATACTAGTCCATTACTACTACCTACTAGACCTAGGCAATGGTAGAAATTTAAACAGGTCCCAAGTTGAAAAAACCTAATCGGGAGGTCTGATTAAATAAGCTTTCTACATTGAACTTGGAAGCAGCTTAGGCCAACTAGAATTAATGTTAGTTTCACATCCTGGATTTTAACTTATCTCTTGGTGATTTGATGGTGTTTATATCAATTATTATTTCTATGTACTTTACTATGTACCTTTAGCAGTTGGTTTTTTAGATATTTGACAGGCTTCACAGCCAAACAAAACGCCACCTAAATGCTAAATTTTCTGCTGCCACTTATTTTTTTACAATATCAGCCAAATTTTAGCCTGATTCTAATTAGATTGGCAGATACAGATTTTTGAATAAAAACTGGGGCTAAAATGTGGGAAAAAATAGTGGTTACGCCCATTTTTTCGTCTAACACTGTTTTTGTGACTTAGAAAAATCAAAGTCTGGCTTTAACTACAACATGCCCTATAGTGATCCTTTATGTTGCAGTGTATCATTTTCAGATCAATTTAGATATTTTAAATGGTTGACAACTCTGTTCTCTATTTTGTTTAGTATAGTGTACTTTTCAAGTGTGAACAAGCCCATGATGACAGCATCTGGAGTGTTGCATGGATGCGTAGCGAGAAAGACAATGTTGAAAACATAGTTACAGGTGCTGTTGATGACTTAGTCAAATGCTGGACTTGGTAAATGTATTAGAGTATAGAATGATAGATTAATAAATGTTTAATTAAGAAAACACAATCCTACAGCAAATGACTTATTATTATAAAATTTCAAATATTATTATAATGGAAATGGATATAGGGAAATAACCATTTATAAAAAATAAGATGATTTGCTTATTGTCTTAAAAATATTATTATATTCACCGTTATTGTCATAACACCTCGGCAAGTAAAAGCCACTACCTTTCCTCAAATCATGTTGTATTGTATAATACCACTCCAATCTTAGGCATCAAACATTTAGTCAAAGTTCAACTACAGTAGTTAACATAATGTTTTTTTAATTTTAGGGAAAATGATGAACTTAAGTTGAAGTGGACATTAGAGGGACATCAGCTTGGTGTGGTCTCTGTAGATATTAATCCAAGCGGTAGCAGTATCCTTCTGATGATCATGAAAAAAGATTATTGCATTCATTCACATTGCATGAAATTACTTCTAGACCTAAATAAATGTGTTAATTTTTTGTTGTTAGCAACATAAATTTACTTGACAGTGTTTAAATTGTCAGAATGATCTTAGGAATTTACAGTACCGATCGCTGGCAGTGCAATTTTTTTGGATGTTGTGCCCGCGTTTTACAATTTTTTCTAATTAAAAATTGACCTATAATGAGATATCGGAGAATAACTTCTGTATACTGTGTATAACAATTAGATTATCTGTACAGTATGCTCATTTTTCACACCTATGTGACATATCGATATAATATATAGGTATAGCCTACTGCACATAAATAATACTCTTAGCGATCTACTTAGTTTGTCTGGTAATCTTAATATCGTTTTTTGTTGAAATGGATGATCATGTTGATGATTCTAATACAAATTTATCTTATTTGACCTATCTGTAATTGTAAGCTATGGGTTACAATTATGAATGCATATATCGTGTGCTTAGTCCACACCATGGGGACCGCTGGCAGTGTGTGCAGCTTTAAATCAGTTATGATGTTCTTATATGAAATCTTGACCGCCGGCAGTTGTATGGATGTAGAATGCGATGCCCGAGGGCAAAGTGTGGTGAAAAAGTACGCTGCCCGCAAATCGGTACTGTAATTGAATGCCCAGTTGAATAAGGTCTCAACGAAGCGAATTTCCTAATGGTGTCAAGAATCTGTGATAAATATTATTGATTGTTGAGTAAGTTGGCCTAAAGCCCAAGCTTTTCCACAAAAAGGTGCTGATTTCTGATACTGTATCAAAGAATAAGATACCAAAGGTTACATTACACATTGTTTAACAAATTCGTGCAGGGGCACAGTAAGTGACGGATTTAGAGGCGGACGTAAGCGGCATACGACCCTCTATTTTTTGTAAAGATAATTGTTTTGAAAGCTTATCAGAAAATTACTATGCTAAATAGTAAAAATCAATCAAATACAAACCCAAATTAATGAAGTTGCTAGAGGTTTAAGGGAGATTATCCCCCCTTTCAGCTCTACCAGGGGCTCTTTCCTAAGACTCTCACTCAATTTGCACATTCATGCCCCTCTTTCTTACTGCTGAAGTAAATGTCTGAAGCCTGGCAAGTGACACGTAAGTAGTTTCATGCACTTTCCCATTATGTGCCTAATCCATGTCATCAATTTTTGCTAAAAAAAAAAAAAAAAAAAAATGGTATGTGACTGACACTTGGCATGATTAGTGTAAGCTTAACTTTTCCTTAGCTGTTGATATTAAGTCGCTGCTACCAGTTCTCTTGATAGTCATATTCGTCTTTGGGATTTAGAAGTTGGTAAACAGATGAGGTCAATCGATGCAGGACCAGGTATTTTTTATTTTCAATAAACAGAATTTACAACTTTTGGTAATCATTAGAAAATTTAAAAAAATTAATGATTATAATCTGGACCAGGTACTTTTTTATTTTCCAATAAACAGAATTTACAACTTTTGGTGATCATAAGAAAATAGGAAATTTAAATGGATATATATATATATATATATATATATACTTGATAAAGTTACTGACTTGATAAAGGGTTACGCCCGAAAGATCTCGTCTATTTTCTTAATAAATTTTGAGGCAAATCTATTACCATCTCTACGAGTTTTATTATATATAAA